GAAGTGTCTCTCAAGAACAGGATGCAGTGACCAATGGTTGCCAAGTGCTTCAAGACCATCGAGTGCTTTATAAATGCCAACCATGATTATGCCCCTTGAAACAACGGGATATCATTTACAAGTGGAAACAGATGACGCACAGCAGGTAACACTCCTTGCCCAGTCCCCATTTTCACCAGCCCTCCCTCCAGAAGTAAAACTATCAACTTTGGAAGAGAGGATATACTGAGAGACTTGATAGGACTTCCAGGGCCTGGGACCTTCCACGGTCCTCAGGAGGGAAGGCACCCAAATCTGAGAACACCAAAAAACCCAAACAAGCCCCCTGTCATCGGGTCAATGCTGCCTCCTAGTAGATAGGCCTCTGTGGGTTTCTGCGACTGGACCTGGGGGGAGAAAAATCCAGTCTCTCTCCTGTGGGGCTACTGGTGGTTTTGAACTGCTGACCATGCATGCAGATGGCAGCCCAACGCATAACCACTACACCACCAGGGCTCCCCCATAAAGGGCCCAGCAAAGAGTTCCCAGAGGGAGGTCCTATCCAGCTCTCCTCTGAAGGGAGCCTCACCTGGAAAGGCTTCCAGTCGCAGACATCCAGATCTCTGTTTCCTGTGAGACCAGTGACTGAGAGAGCTGTGAGAGAGGCTGTTAATTAGGGAGGCCGTGGTTATGCACTGGGCTGCCAGCCACAGGGTCAGTAGTTCGAAACCACCAGCCACTCCCTGAGGAAAAAAGGAGGCTTTCTACTCTTGTAGAGTTACAGTCTTGGAAACTATTTTGTCCTGTGTTGCTACTCGCTGGAATAGATTCGATGGAAGTAAAGGAGTCAAACTTCAGCCTCAATCTCCTTTGTGCTTGGTCTACACAGAAGAGACGGGCAGGACACATCTTGTTTAACTCTGGTTCCCACTTCCCCTGATTTCAACTATGAAAGAGCCAGAAAAGGTGGTTTTTGCATTGGACAAATTGGAGCATTCAGATTTTTCTTCCCGGCAATGTGTTAGGAAAAGAGAGAGCGAGGACCGCTTCTTTGATTATCCTTCTTGTGGGCCCTTCATTGTTTGGGATTCTTGAAGGCAGAGATATTCACTGAACAATGTTTCACATGGCGAATGCCATCCAGTATAGAATCAGTAAGGCTAAGCTGTTCCCGACTGGAAGTGGCCGACCTCAGAGGTCAGCAGCATACACAGGGAACACCGTGAGTTCCCCAGAGGAGGCGGGGCCTCTGACAGAACACATCCGCAGCTCTCTTAGCATGAGGTCAATGCTGCCTGTCTCGATGTGTCTGAAGAAAGCAGTCTAGCTCCAAACAAACCGGGCCCTTGTTTCTCAGGTTGGAAACATCAGATTATGGGATTGCAGAGGATTGGTGGGTGGGCTGCTGGGACGGTGTGAGGTGGTCACCTCACGGCACAGGCTTGCTTCTTGGCAGGAGGTGGGCCAGGATCATAACCCAGGGCCCAATCTGACTTGTGGTTTGGCATTTTGGTCAAATAGCTCCTATTGCCCTGAAGATTTCTGGATGTGGGAACAGTGCAACTTTTCCCACCTCTCAGCTCCATCACTGTCAGTCACCTCAGAACGTTGAAGGCTTTGGCATAAGACCTGGTGAGGTGCCCCCATTACCCCCTCTCTTGACGTCAGTGAGGGAGTTGTTCCTTGTGGCTCTCTTATGTGAAATAATTTGGCATTTGTATTTCACTTAAAATGCAGTGGCATATATTATTAAATAGTACTGACTCACGCCATGGCTTCTCCTCAGATGAATAAGTGCCAAGAGTGTTCCATACACATTAGCGATGAAGAGGGTGTGAGAACTAAGATTTTTTCCTGTTGAACATTTACAGCTACTTTAAACAGTCTTGTCTCCTTGAATAAAGCATCCCACACATCCAGGGAGATTACTCTGGCCTGTGTTACTCTTTTCGAAAGAAGACATTGAAATGCAAGATTATTTCTGCCTTTCAGGGTGAGAAAAATAACCCCTGCTTAGAATCTTCCTCTCTTTTGTGAGTCTCATAAAAACAATGTCTGAAACACAGTGTGTGTTCAATGATGGGCTGTATCAAATTAAATGGGGCGCTGCACATTCTATGGGTCTCAGAAGAGAAATGTATATCTTCACAAAGTACTGAGTCGAAAAAAGAGGAGAAAATAATTTCCTTGTTTTAACAAAACTCACTTTTCTGTATCTTAATTTTTTTCTGTTCATGGAAGCATGATAGTGAGAACATCAACCCTGGTATGTTGTTGCTTTGAGTTTTTGTTTTGCTTCTTTCTCTCATTCAGGAAACTGTACTTGGGATGAAGTCCTGGGAATTTCAAGCTAAGCCATTAAAAGCAGTGGCTTAGCTCCCTTCCCTCCAGTTCCTCATTCACAAAACCCAGAACCTTGTCTCCCAGGGCTCCTACCATGCGGACACGCTCTACAAACAGAGACAGGAGGATAGAAACTCCAGACTATTTTCACTACCAACTCACCTTCTCTGTGGACAATTAGGACCGGCATCCTTTGGGCTCTGATGGGAATGAGTCTCTGAGAAGTGCTAACTTCACTGTTTGGCAAGACCCCCTTCTCCTCCATCTCCAGTTCCATATATCTATGACATTCAGGAAGCGGTAAGGATATAAGAATAAGGATATAAGATATAAGAATAAGATGACTCGGTTTTGTTTACAAATTAGAGATCATTGGAGTGGTGAGATCCTTCTGTGCAATCTTCCTACATCTCACCATCCCCCCGGCCCGCCCCCATTCCCTTTGACAGATGAAGAAAGCCAAGAACGTTTCTTGACAGCTCAGTGCACTTATGGCAATAAAGGAAAGGAGCAATACGTCATCGGGAGCCAAGAGAACATTACCAGTAGGAAACCTAAGAAAGATAGATGCTCGGCCGAGTCTTGTTCATGGTGTGTTAGCTCAGGTCCAAGGTTTTCAGACTCTGGTCTTGGTTTCCGCATCTGTAACGGGACTAAGAGGCAGTGGGTAGAGATTTGGAGGGTTGTTACAAATATGGAAATTCAGAAATACATTCTGTGTTCTAAAGGCCTAACCATTTTTCTCCCTTGTAGTTATAAGTAAACTGGGTACACCCTACCCCCACAACACAAAGAAACAAAACCCACCCAAAAGTCCAAATAACAAAAGGCTGGGTTGATATGTCACCAAAAGTAATATTTGAGAAGAATCAGTAAGGGAATCCTTAATGGATAGTGTAGGACATGTGATTAGTTAGTAATGACTGCACACATATTTGGGCTTTCTATTGCAATCATGGTCCTGACATACATTATACTCTAAAGTGAATTCCTGGGATTTCGAAGTTAGACGATGCTGTAAGCCAATTATTTGACTTCTTACTGACTGGTGTGATCTTGGGTATTGCCATGCGGTCTCATTGCCCCTCTATTTCCTCTTCTGGAGAATGAGAACAGAGACCTATCTCAAAAGGGTATAATAAACAGTCAATGCAATAATACATATGAAAATAAATACTTTGTGGACTGCCAGCTCTTCGCACCACAGCAGTATGGAATGATCTTTCCACCTCGGGCCTCTTCCAGAAAGAAAGATGGAATTATGCTGAGCCCTTTCAGCTCTGAAAACGACACAAATTCCAATGGGCTTTCCATCTCCCTACATGTCGTACATCCACTGCAGTCTCGGAACTTGATTTTTATTTTTGAAGTCATTCTAATGGCACTCCCTAAATATGTGAATGAAATTATGTGTGGTTTGATGTGGAACAGATTAAAATAATAAGTGCCTCAGTGTATACATGATGTCCCGGGTATAAAATAACATGGTTAACCTGCACAACAGGAGTAGCTACACTGTGTTGTCAGTAAATGGCACAAGATGTCCATGTATCCAGGCACGTCTGCTGGGGATCTCACCCCCTTTCTGTGGGACTGAACCTCAGAATCTGGGCACCAGTCCCTGCCTCTCCTGCAGGGCCACGCTGCACCCACAAGGTGGGAAGGCAAAGAGCAATGACTGTTTTCTTTGTTGATTCCTTGTTGCCAGAAAACAGAAATTAGATCCTCCCCCAGATCCTCCTATCAGCAACTCCAGTGCCAGCTAGCCTTTCCCAGCAGGAGCATAAATAAATAGCAATCTACCTTTTTGAGGCTTAGGAGCATTTAGGCCTATATTTGGGTTTAAGGTTTGAAAAATCGCATACAAATGTAACCCATGTAATCACAGTTTGCACAACTTCTGTAGAAATCAAGTTGGCCATATCGGGGTAGGTTTCTAAAATCAGTTGCATCTTTGGCTCACTTTGCTATGTATTTAGGACAAGAGGGAGGGATTTGGAAACTATTGCATTCAATTACGTGATTTTCAGGAAAGAAAACTAGACCCAGCAGAGGAAAAACACTAGGTGACACAGCAGGTTCTAGCCGGTGGGCTGGGATTAGCACCTCACCTTCTTCACGCTCTTCCTGATGAAAACACAACCACATGGTTGGGTAGGAAACAGATGACTGGTCAAAGGTTCTGCTTCAGAGAATGGAAGTTTGTACCACGAATCAAGATCATAATTAGCAGATTGTCCACCGAAATTTAGGAACGGTTTTGATGGCTGTGTCTTAAAGGTCTCTGCTGTGGCTGCCCATCACAGAGGCAGATTGTAAGAGGTGGGGAACTAGAATGATAAATGAAACAGGAACAGCTAACCAGTTCCGCTGGTTAGCACCGGCTCTCCGAGACTCGCAGCGCTCCAGCTCCTGTTGACAGTATTTGCTCCGTGTCCTCGGAGAATTAGGGCTCCAGACCAGACTTAGTCTGAAGTACCTCCACCGCTCACCAACCATCTCTCTTTCTTCGACAAACAGGGGTCCCACCTTCCTCCAGGCCACAGAGAGCCTGCCAGGAAAACCAGTGACAGTCCCACCTTGTTCCTGGGTTGTCCCCAAATCTCCTGTGAGACCACAAAACCAATATCTGAAGATAAGCTAATACTATTTGAGAGAATAATTCCAAGTGACAGATATTAAAATAGGCTCTCTTTATTAGACAGACAGGCCACAAGCACATATGGAAGCACTAGACAGAAGCAAAGAGGAGGGGTACCTAACCATGTGCAGATGAAGAGAAGATCGCAGCCCATCAGAAATCAATTTCTCTTAAATATCCCTTCTCATCAGTGGATCCCTCTCTCAGGAACCCTGGCAATGGTGTCCTGAACCAGGTGGGGTTGAGGGTGTTAGTGGGGTACACTGATGAGATTTTTAAAGACAGTTCATAGGGCTATCTCTCCAGAGCACGGTGGATGGGGGGCTCATGTTCCCAGGCTAAGTGTGTTCTCTAGTGAAAATAGCAGGGCCAGCAACTCCGCCAAGGTCCTGGAAAAGCTGGCGGCCCTCTCTCTTGCCCAGTCCTCCTCAGAGCGGCTCCTTCTCAGCGCCCAGAAGACCCTTGGACCAGTGGTAACGGAGGCAGCGCACAGTCTCACCAGGACTTTGAACGAGTTTCTTCCCGATTCAGTAAATGCTGGCGAAGCAAAACCAGAAGGGACCCAAATTTGTAAGATGTGGGGAACTAGAATGATAAATGGAACAGGAAACATTAGGGTTGACACCCTGCTATAAATTTAATCTCCCTCTTAGAAAACAAGGACAGCATGTGCGTTGCATAGCAACTAATCTCATGACTAGCAGAGTCAGAAGGCCTGACCTCCCGCTCAAAGGCGGCAGATGACCATGTGGATCACACTTCACTGTCCTTCCCCCTGAGGCTCCTGCAAGGCTCACTCAGTGCACCTCTTCCAAGCCTCCCATTCCAGAGTTTCAACCCAGAAGTCTTCCTATTCTGGTAACCATTCCACTTCACCCCAATTCGTAAAGTTTGGGTTTGTTCTGGTAGCACCTCATCAGATCTGATTGCACCAGTCTGAAGCAGTTTGACGCCCTGACCCTGCCAGGGGATCTCCGGGGTCAAGGCTGAGCTGACGCAGGACAGTAAGAGCCCGTGGCTGTCAGCACAGTGAGAGGATGTGACGTAAAGGCAGAAAGGCAGAAAAGTCAGAGAAAAAAATCACACACCAATTTTAGAACTTGTACATATATAAGGATAGGAGCCTCACCAGGAACATATGTTTTTCCTGCTCCAGCTTTTAAATCCATGGCAAATGAATTGTGGGTGGTAGGGGTGGGAGATGGTGATTGGGCTCTGAGAGATGAACTGATGAGAATCCAATAAAGAAAGATAGAGTGAGGCAAAGCACCCACCCTCAGGAACAGAAGGGAGATCTGGGGACTCATATTAACCTGTTAACTTATACCACAGCTCTGTACAAAAATAAAGAGGTTCTCATAAGATTAACAATTTAAATAAATATTTGAGGGAACATTCTTTCTCAGTTTCATAGCTCATCTTTGGGGTTGATATTGAGCTCATGTTTTCCTTGCTGTTCTTGGTCCAGGACTGCAATCACTTCATCAGCCTGAATTCGCTCCTGCAAAAAAAGACAATTTACACATTTCTCGTACAAGCATAATAATCAGTCCAGCGGCAGCTGACTCCCAAACACTTCCAGGCATCCATCTGCACATGGCTGATGCTGACTCCCGTCATATATTAGACCTCATTCTCAGCCCCCAACTGTGGTGGTCTTCTCTGACCTCACTAAACGCTGACTTTCCAAGATTTCTCTCTTGAGGAGTCCTTTTGTATGAGAGGGGTTTCAAATAGTTCATAGAATAAAAAATGGAATGAAAAGATCATGGAATTTTTTTCATGAACTTTTAAACGCCCTTTCATAAGTTCATCCGGTGGTCCCATAACCCTTGTCAACTTAGTATAGTGTCCCCCGCTGAAGTCACCATTTCCCCCTCACAGACTTAGTTCTTGGCATATCCTCCCTCTCAGGAAAAATCACCACTGTCCCCCAATTTTCCGTCTAAAAAGCTGATCACAGATTTTGATGTCTAAAATGTCACTCAGTCTGCTAGGTTCCCTTTCTACTTTTCTTTCCTTAGTGCACATAACAGTTGCTTTAGGGAGCCATGGTAGAGTTGTTGAGTAAGGACTGGACTGACAACCACAAGGTCTATAGTTCAAACTCGCCCATTGCTCCAGAGGAAAAAGTTGAGAGGTGTTTGCTCTTATAAAAGATCTATAGCCTAAAAACCCTACCTACGGTCATTACGAGCTGGAGGCAACTCGGTGGCAGTGAGCTTGATTTTGCTTTTGGTAGTATAGGCTAGGGTTTTTTGACTTCAGCTTTATTGATATTTTAGGCTGAATAATTCTTAGTTGTAGGCCTCTGAGTTAGTTAATTGTGCCAGCCTGGCCGATAATCACATGTGGGGCTGGTTGAAAGGCGGAGGGATAAATGGGTGGTGAGCCTCGCCTTTCTAGTTCTTGGGTCTCTTGTTTTGTGATGGTTGCACTGGGTGCAGCTGCCTTAGCAGTTCCCTGCTTCAGCTTGCAAGATTGACTTCCTACAAGACATCCCCAAGGAGAAGCCGCATGGATCTATCCCGATGCAGCCCTGGGTGCTGGAGCAGCCGTGTGGAGACCTCTGCTAGTGCTGAGATGCTTGTTCGTTCACTGACTCACCTTTCCTCCTGCAGTTGGCATTATTGCCTCTGTTTTGTGAGGTGGAGGACTTTGTGGACTGGTGTTGGGTTAATGGGTTAATGTTGGACTTGTGGGCTTGGGCAGCATTGGGTTGGGATGTTTTCGTGATGCACCTTTTCTTTACATAAAACTCTCTCTTATACGTGAGTTGCTGTGGATTTGTTTCTCCAAAGTACCCAGACTAACACAGCCTCTCTGTGCAATATTTAGCAGCATCCTTAGGGTCCATCCATTAGAAGCCAGTGGCTCTTACTCCAAGATATGACAATCAATAGTGGAGGCATACAATCCCTGGGAAACAAGATTGATCCAGCCTGACCAAAGCATGTCAGTTCCCTGCTCACTACTCACCACCCTTTAAACCAGTTGGTACCACTTGGACTCTGATGCATGGCGGCTCCATGCATGTCAAAATAAAAGTGTCCAACAGCATTTAAAATGGCTGGTGTTGGGGGTGGGGGGAAGGTGTCTCTCCAGGCCTTTCTCTGGGGCCTTCTCTGGAGGGACTTTGGACTAGCAGCAAAGTGTGCTAACCACTTACACTATCCAGTGACCTGCACCTGGCGTCCATCATATCCTGTGCTTTTTCTTGCTCCATAACCCCCTACCCCCGCCCACATCAATCCGCCAAACCTTCTTAGAGAACCACCAATCTCTATCTGAAAGCTTCCCCATCGTTTCACCTCCTCTCTTACTGGGAATCCCACCTGTCAGCTAAAGCAATTGTTCATATGCACTGGTATCTGCCAGACTGAACAACTAGTTGACAGCAAATGATCCACACTCAGCATTTCAGGGTGGAAGAGCTTGCCACTCCCACGTGACTCCTGAACTTTGTGGCCTATGGGACTCTCTTGGGGAGCCTTCAAATCTCCTGATAATCAGAATTCTCCCCAAACCAATTCATTCCACTTGCAGAGTGGAAGCCGGATGGCAGTACAGACAGCATCTGGACAGTAATTGAGTTATATCCCTTCACCTGTTTTTAGGTCTAATTCATACATAAGTCAGACCCTTTAGGGAAAGTTTTATTTAAGGGTAGTTAGTCCAAAGTTTGTGCTAGTATACAGCATACATATACTTTTCTATGCACCCCACCACACACAAAAATGCAGAATTATTAAAATATCCTTAATACAGTAATATATCAACACAAATTTTTTGATGCATCTTGCAAAGCAGTGTCCATTTATCATTACTAACCATTGTATGTATTTCAAAATTTTAATACAATAGGCTTATGGTAGTTACATAATCTGGTGTCATTTGGGGACTTGAGAGGATTAAGAGTGGAGTCTGACCTGTCAATCAAGATATAACCAATGAAGCCTCTGTGTGGACATGGCCTTCTCCTGAGAATTCTCGGAATTCCTAGATTTTCTTCCTTGGAGGCAGGAGACATTTCTCGCTCTCTGCTCACTCCCATAGACACACTTTCCTGACAAGACACATGGCGCTACACCCTGGGAGCTGGAGCAGCCACATGGACCTACACTGATGCAACCAGACCTCTGGAGCCGGAGAAGCCACATGGAGACCCCTGCCAGCCCCGAGTTGCTTACAGCACCACTGGATTCAGAAGACTTCCATCCCACTGGCCTGTGATCTTCCTGCATTCAGTGTCATTGCATGTGGTTTGTGAGTCTGAAGAGGACTTTATAGATTGGTATTGGACATATGGGCTAGTATCGGACCTATGGACTTGAGCTAGATTGGGCTGGGAGTTTTTCAATATTCAATTGCTCTTATATAAAAACTTCTTTCTTATTTACATATGAGTGTCCATGAATTTGTTTCTCTAGTATACCCATACTAACACAGGCTTTAGGGGGATTGGTTTGTAACGACAGGTTGTACATAACTTGGATTTTCGTCACCAAAGTTTGTTTTTGTTTTTAAGATTCTCAGGTAATCACAAGGTGTTGCAAATTATAGACATGACATCACCGAAATATTCAATTCATTTCTGAAGAGGCAGCACTGCAGCCACTGTGTGTCAGTACTGCCTGGAGACTGAGAAACCAATGCTTTTCTAATACTGGAAGGAACTTTGGCATGGGAGCAGAGAGAATTTACTTGGTGTTTGTTTATCTTGATACAATAGTACACTGAAAGAGTGCTGGGATGCTGAATAATGAAATATATTGAGTGTCTTTTGAGTTGAATGTTAAAGAGGGATAATCATTTACTCCCTGCCAATGAGTTGATTCTGACTCATAGTGACCCTGTAAGACAGAGTAGATCTGTGTCTGGGCGTTGCTGAGACTGTAACTCTTTACAGGAGTAGAAAGCCTTATCTTTCTCTCAGAGAGAGGCTGGTGGTTTCAAACTGCTGATCTTGCCAATCGCAGTCCAATGGGTAACCACTGCACCACCAGGGGTCCTCTCTTATAGGTATAGCCCAAACCTAACGTACCGACATCGGGTCTTTTCTGAATCACAGTGACCACATAGGGGAGGGTAGAACTGCCCCTGTGAGTTTCTGTCACTGTAACTTTTTAAGGGAGTTGAAAGTCTGTTTTTCTCCTGTGAAGTGTCTGGCAGTTTTGAACTGCTGACCTTGCAGTTAGCAGCCCAATATGTAACCACTATGCCACTATGTCTCCTGAGAGAATAGAATGGTCCCTGTGGGTTTCTGAGACTGAAATGCTTTACTGGTGTAGAGAGCCTCATCTTTCTCCCATTGAGAGGCTGTTGGTAACTCTTGTCTGTGGGGTTAGCAGCCCACCACATAATCCACCAGAGACTAATGGGTGCATGCTCCACTCTCTATTATGTAACTTGTGTAGGTTACTTAGCATAGAAGGAGAGCTTCAGAGGAAAGCCGGCAATTTGGAGGTTTAAAGGCACAAAGGGGAAAAAAAAGGAGGGGAAGGAGATTGTTCAGTGCCACTTGAGGCTTTTAGAACTTAGTATCTGTGTCCCCATCTGCCAGGCCAATGGTTTTTCTCTGTCCTAGGTCTGGCTATCATCTGCTCGTTCAGGTCTGAGCTCACATTGGTCTCCCTGGAGACTCCCCAGCTCCTCCTGCTTCCTCATCCCGGTGCACAGGGAATGAGGTCTCTCCAAGCTCCCGTGCTAAGGCTCAGCTTTTGCTTTCCTTTGGTGAACCAAGTAGGTCCTCAGACAGGTAGTCAATCTTGGATTAAACATGTGCTATGTCTATAAAATAATTCTTAGGGAACATGGTGTGAAAACTCTGTGAGACCCAAGACCATTGGAAGAGCAGGTTCCAGTTGTCCAGTGGAAGTGGCCAGGCTGAGAATAGGGCACCTTTGACCATGGCACGGAGACTCAGGGTCAGATCCAGGGAGCCTGATGGAGACCATAGATCAAGACCAGGAGAACAGGAGACAGAATGAGGGCGACTCTGGGACTGTGAGGTAACCAGTGGGTTTCCTGGCCCACAGAGCTAGAGGCCAAGAGCCCACACGATGGAGAGGCTGAGGAGGGCTGTTGCCGTATCATTAAAATTTACCAATCCTGATTTGTGATAACCTATTAACTCCCTAACAAGCCCTTAATCATTAAAACAAACAAACAAGCAGAAAACCACATGCATGAGTTCGTTTTGGTGAAGAAAAGTCTATGTGAGTCAAATTCTTTTCAAACAGTGTATTATGAAGTTGTGTTCAAATGTCTCCAAAACGACAAACCAAACCCATCATGCCCCTGTGGGTTTCCCTGGCTATCACTGTTCACAGGAGTCGAAAGCCCGGTCTTTCTCCCATACGGTTGCCGGTGGTTTCAAACTGCAGACCATGCGCATCACAGCCGATGCATAACCACTACACCAGCAGGGCCCCTTTCAAACGTCGATAGGAGATTAAAGAGGCACATTGGACAGAATGCCATTTTTAAGAATAGAATTCTATGGCCTTGTCACCACTGTGAGCTGGATGAGACTGTCGGAGCCCATCCATTCAGCCCCCAGTCCAATGCTCCTTTCAATTTTACCACCTCACCAAGCAGCTGCTGGGTCTTTGATGGGCCGTGTTCAGTGACAGCACCCTCACTACTCGCAAATCAGACCGTTGTCTTAAGCAGTGGTGACTCTTTGACAGGGGACATAGCTGAGAGCATTTAGAAGGTATTACAAATGTTGGCCCCAAAGCGTCTTCCAAGCGGCTTCTACTCATTTGTCTTCATTCATCCCTCTGTATCTTTGTAGGTGAAATTCCAAGTGCAGATTTTCAAGTGAGGCAGAGATCATGGTCTCCTATCCAGATGAACTGTCTTCAGCTACTTCCAATACTCTTCATATAATAACCTTCAAAGGAGTCCGTCCCTAGACAGCACAAATGGCTAAACACACTACTACCAGCAAAGACTGACAGGCCAAGCTCATTCCGAGGCACCTTGGAAACCAGGCCTCTAGATGAGCTGTAGGGATGCAACCTTGAAAACCCTATGAAGGAGCTGCTCAGAACACATGGGGCACCATGAGTTAGTAACGAAAGAAGAGTCACTAACAGAAGTCTTCCAGGTGTCTGCGCCCCGACTTTCACATAAACCTTGTTTCAGGGATTTCTTGAGAGAAGGAGTGAGTCTTCCCGGTGACCAGAAAGAATGGATTGCTTTCTCCTGATGCCATTGTCGTTGTTTGTTTTTGGTTTTCCCCCCAGGAAATCTCAATAAGGATGATTCAGGAGTAAAAAAAAAGTTGTCTTTATCCCATGGAATGGCTGGTAGTTTTGAACTGCTGATTCTGTGATTAGAAGGTCACAGAAGCCCAATGCTGAGTAACCACTACGTCATCAGGGCTGATTAGTGGTTGGCAAATATACTGAGCAGTTCTCCTCCACTAACCGGGGGAAATCGACTTGGCTTTCTGGGTAGGTCAGAAAACTCACCAATTCCCTGTAAAGTGGGTCCAGGGTAAACCACAGAGCCACAGCACACCTCTGGCCCCTGGTGACCGCCTTCACTCCATGTGGGTTCTCTCCTCCTGATGAAAAGCTGACCATACGTCCGCACTTTGGTTTTATAGAGGCCTGGAAAACAAAGCAAACACTAGCCTTTTGATCCTTACGCCCCAAACATTTCACAACCTCCCTTTCTAGCCTTCTATGAGCTTGCTCAGGTCAAGCTCTGACCTTCAGTAAGAAAACCATGGGGTCCTGAGGCTCAATCACGCAGATGGTCTCAGTCTCCACAGCTGTAAAACAAATACATGGTCAAGAGAATAGCTACCTCACAAGACAAGAGTTTAGAAATATTCTTCACCCAGTCTACAGCACATAGTCATTGCTCACTAAGTGCTATCATGAGAACCTGCCAGCTCTGCCAAGGCAATGGCTGTCTTCGTGATTGATGAACCAATAGAAACTGCATGGGGGACAGGGCTCCGGGGGCACATTGGGGTGGGTGTGAGGGTAAAGGATGGCTGATAGGAAGGAGTTTAAGAAGTGTTGAAACTGGTTGTGGTCGCCATTGTACCAAACTGGTTGATGTGACTGAATTATGGAAAGATAAGATATCTATATCAGCTCCCAATAAAATGGTTTTGAGAAAAGAAATCTACTCCTCTAACTTTAGCATCAGCACAGAAGTTCACACACAGTAGATGCACATCTAGTACTTGCTGCATGGCAAAAACAATCCAGGGTACAGCTAGAGTTCTGAACATGCATGTCCTCAGTTGTGCATCTGTGGTCTGAACACTTTACACAATGCAACGCTTGCTCAGGAATTAAGTCTAGGACTTTCAAGGGCTGCCAGTCTATTAAACGGATGCAACTTGGCTATCCGATACTTTAAGGCTCTCCTCTCAGATGCTTTGTAAATACTCTGAAGACTATTCTCAAGGTCATTTCTGGTCTTTCTCATTGGAAATGGGAACTGCATCCCCTCTTCCAGCTTTCCTGAGCTTTCTTTATCCTTTCAAGACCAAAATATTCTCTATGTTGGAACTGTTTGTTGAAAATATGTGTTTTCAGTAATGGGAACCATTTGGAATAAATGAAAATATATTTCTGGGTCTTGTGGATTTTGATATAATTAGTGGGACACCATATGTCCTTAGGGTTCTAGCCCTTGGGTGAATGAAATGAGGCCTGTGTTTAGATCCATGCAGTTATACAGGCTCCCACTAGATGGCAACATGCACTAAAAGTGGAACAGCAATTTCATGAGTGAATCACAGTCACTCTCATTCGCTGCCATCTTATGGATTCTAACTCACAACAATGCTAAAGGCCAGGGTAGAGCTGCCCCTGTGGGTCTCTGAGACTGTAACTCTTTAGCAGAGTAGAAAGCTCGCCCTTCTTCTCAGAGAGGCTGGTGGTTTCAAATTGCTGACCTTGAGGATAACAGCCCAACACATAAATAGTCCAGAGCGCCTAAACACCAGAGGCAGAAAAATAACCAGCTTTCCACTCAGCACTAGAGATGAGCACTACATGTCTCACGGGTCAGCAACGAATTAAACCATGTTTGAGGAAGATGCATGGACCTCGCAAGGAGATTTCTCAGCTGGAAGGGGCCAGTGCTAGCCTTCCTAGTTCAGCACACAATGGTGGTACAATTGTGGTTGAAAGATGGTCTTGAGACACTCTGAGAAAAAGCCAGTATATGCTGCAAAACGGGCACTCAGTTTCATCAAGAAATGGATTCATGGCTGTACAGGACACTGTAAGCTGTGTCAGACTCCTGCACTCGGAGGGCTGTAAAAGTATAACTTTACAAGGGAGACTGGAATATCCAAGTAAAAATAGGCTGAGTGATGGATGAAAAGAAAACCATCAATCTAGAAATAGACATTGGTAAGTAAAAATAATTACTTTCTCTCCTGGCATGGCTAATTTATGTAATTAAACTAACCAGGCTAACTGCATAGGGAGGAAGCCAACTAAATTTAACTCTTCTTTGGGAGTTTTTGGGACCCAGGAGAATAAAAGAAAAACATAAGGATGCCATTCAAGGAAGTATGCCAAATGGAACCCTCATGGTGGACTGATTACACATTGGAATATTAACAGCAAGGTCAGCAGTTCAAAACTACCAACTTCTCCTCTGGAGAAAGACGGGGCTTTCTACTCCAGTAAGCAGTGACAGTCTTGAAAACTCACAGAGGCAGTGCTACCCTGTCCTGTAGGGTCACTAGGAGTCCGCATCAACTCAATGGCAGTGAGGTTGGTTTGGGGCTTATGGAAGATGGGTGCGTTATTTCACATACAATGTCAGGACTGGCTATTTCAAACGAGGTGAGACCGTCACCCCATACGATGTGCCCAGATAAACTAGAGAGGCATTAAACATTTAAATATAAAAAAGTAGTCTAATCTCACGTGACACTTTAATTCCCTTGGTAATGCTCCCATGCAGTGGTCACTAGCCATAGGTGTGACGCTCCCAAGAACACACTACCCTGGCCTCCCCCTCACTCCTGCTCCCCTCCACCAAGAGGGCTCTGAGATGATCAGGTGCCTTCCTTCCTTCCATGCTTGCGTCACTGAGGTGGAGCTGCCCCATAACGCTGAGTGCAAAGTCCCATAATGCAGGGGAAGGTGATTCTGCTGGGGCAGAGCCAGGGCATTACAGCAAAAGAGTTCAGCTCTGTGCTTTGAGGGAGCCTAGGCAACTGGATATTAGGGCACTTGCTTCTAAATTTGGAGGAAATATTTCATGTCTGGTGTGAGTAAATTTTTCTTCCTTGGGAAGTAGAGACAGATGGCTCAGCCCCTATAAAAAGCCCTCTGCCATCATGTTGCTCCCAGCTCCCAGTGGCTCTACCTCTAGAATCTCTGAGGCTGTAATTGCTACAGAAATAGTTACATCTTTCTCCCACAAATCAGATGGTGGATTTGAACCATCCAACCTACAGTTAGCAACCCAACGCTTACCCCAGAGCTTGGCGGGGAAATGTAAATGCAAACAAATAAAATAAATAATGTGGTAGTCATTGTTCTACTATTGGATGCAATGGGTCTTACCCGGACTATTCTCTGACCGGAGCAGACATACGCCTTTTGGAAGAACCTTTGGTTTCCTTATGAATACAATGGGATGGCTATACTTTTCACGGAAAATGTGAAATTCCTGGAGTCTATGTAGCAGAGCTATTCCCAGAATGTGGGATGTACTCATGGAAGGGTAAGGATTGTGGGAGAAGTAAAAAGCAGTCCGAGTGGCAGAGAACGGTGGTGGGGTGTCAGGGAGAAATGCGGAGGAGAAGAATGCTCATGTTCGGATGAGTCTCCTCTTCACAGTAATTGGGAGCGATCTGCCTTGTCTACAGCGAAGTGTTTGGCTTCAGCAGCTTTGTTTCACCAAGGTGCATTCCTGAAGTACATCGTGAATTTCCCTGGTGTCCTCAGGATCACCCTGCTTGCTTTGGGTCTGGACAAACACCGGGGCCTTTCTTTGCATCGCTCCTAGCTGCCAGCACGGTGACGACTCCATGTGGTGTGCCCAGGAGAAGTGCACATCACAGGGCTTGCAGGGCTGTAAACCTTCTGAAGCAGATTGCCAAGCCTAGTGTTCGCAGTGTCCTTTGGGCAGGTTATGACAACTAGCCTCTCACCTAGTTCTTGAGTATTTACCTTTTGTATGACCTAGAGACTCTTCGGAAGGATGCCTGGCAGTGTAGTGATTTACACTTGGGCTGTGGTCAGAAAGGTGAGCAGTTAGAAACCACTTTTTCAAGGGAAAAAAGAAGAGTTACAGTCTGGGAAACTCACAGGGCAGTTCTACCCTGTTCTGTATGGTCGCAATGAGTCAGCACAGATTCGATGGCACTGAGCTTGAGTTTGAGGTGTTGAGACTTCTAGAAGGGTTTAAAAATATGACAGGAGAAACGTCCCAAATTTGATGTGGCCTGTGATGTTTTCAGGGCCACTCATTCCCTGATGTTGGTCAGGACTCACTCACCCACATACGTTTCCCATTGCTTCGATGTAATTCCATCTTTGTTACAACACTTTTCAACATAGTCAGTGTGTGGAGGTGTAGTATTGGGGACAGTTTTAGGTTTACTTCTGATGGAATTAGATGTATTGAAAGTTCTTTTACACATGAGGAACTTTGGAAATGTTTAAGAGAAGTTATCCACTGCCTGACGCACTTTGGTTTAGGGATCAGTGATAGACCTATAAGCACATAAGGGTCGCTAGAACTAATCTTATTCCACAAGGGGCAGCAGGGATGAGAAATCAGAAACACAGAGGAATCAATGACTGTTAGTGATCCAATCAGGAGTCCTGGTGGTGCAGTGGCTGCAGCGCTTGTCTGCTGACTGAGAGGCTGGAACCTCAAACCGACTAGCTGCTGTACAGGAGAAAGGTGGGGCAGCCTGCTTCTTTAACTATAGGCTTGGGAACCCTAACGAGCAGCCCCGCTCTGTCTTATAGGGCTGCTGTGGGGCAGAATCAACTAACTGGCCGTCGTTCGGTTAGTGAAACAACCTCTATGAGATTGTTTCCATGGGAAACTATATCCTGAAGTTAGGTAACGGTTGTAAACACATTCCAGGAGCGCAGCCTCAATCAACAGAAAGCAATTTCTCACAACACAAAAGGAACTCTTTAAACTTCCTTTTCTTCCAATTTAAATAGAATATTTAAAAAACACACAAATCCTCACATTCCACCAACAAAAGTTGCTGTTGAAGATAATCCAGGTATGCCTTCCAATTACTATAGAATTTTCCATAGCACTGATGGTTACGAGTCAGACAAGCCTTTCCCCCCCCCTGCACTTGTCTTGAATAACTGTAAATTTCCAGCCAAGTTTCAATTAGTTATACAATTTCCAGATTTTTCCAGAGCAAAAGAAGCTTCAAAGGCTTTAGTTCTCTGTGTGGTCCCAAGGGAGGCCATTACCATGCTACATTTATCTCTCCAGAATTAAATTGGGAAAAAAATCCAAATACACTTACCAACGTCTTGCTGTTAATAAAGTACGTGTGTGTGTATCTGTGGGAGTTGTTGGATGGTACTGTGTCACTGTCATCTCACAGCAACCCTGTTTCGATAGACTGAAACCCTGCCCAGTC